GACCAGAAGCGGGAACTGCAGGCAAAGCTCGACAGCCTGGACGACGATGGGATGGACCGGGTGTTCCATTTCCTCGTGCCGGACTTCGGCGGAGGCGAGGGCGAGGACGGCCAGAACGTGGTGGACGTGGACCTCGACCAGCTGGCGCCCGACCAGCAGAGGGGCCTGATCCAATTCGTTGACAAGGAGCTGGAGAGGGTCGCGGCGGCCGCTGTCCCAGGACCCGCAGCGCCAGCCCGCACAGACGGCTGGTCGCAGCTCCAGCCGTCCCTGGTCCGTCCCGGGGGGGGCCTCAAGCGGCGGCGCCGTGAGGCGGCCCCGCATCCGTCGTCGTCGTCAGACGTCGTCGTCGTCGTCGCCCGTCGTCGTCGGTCGTCGTTTTCGTCGTCGACGGTCGTCAGTCGCCATCGTCGCGAGGGCGCGGTCGCTGGCGCGGCGGAGCGAGACATCCCCGTGAAGAACGAGTTCGCGCAGGGCCCCCCGCGCGACGAGGAGAGGGTCTCGGGGCGCGTGGATGCGCTCGAAAAGCGAGTTGCTGAAGCTGAAGCCGAGATCAAGAACCTCAAGAAGGAGCTGGCGCGCGAGAAGGAGAAGTCGCGGAAGCGACGGCCCGATCCCGACAGGAGCGACAGCCCGTCGAAGCCGAAGCCGCCGCCTTCGGCGTTCGCCAGGTACTGCCAGAGCATCCGGGGCGAGCTGAAGGGTTTGAGCGCTGCGGACCAGTCCGCGCGCGCGGGGAGGAAGTGGCATGACCTCCCGCTGGCCCAGAAGGGCGCCTTCAAGCGGGAGCACGCGGGGGCCCAGCAGTCCTACAGCGTCGCCCTGGCGGCGTACAGTGAGCAGCAGAAGGCCAAGTGAGCAGATGCCCGGCGCCGCGCGGTCTGAGCTCCCCCGGCCCTCTGGGAGGGAGGAGGTGGAGGAGCTGGAGGAGGGAGGAGGGAGGAGGGAGGAGGAGGGGAGAGGGAGGAGGGAGGAGGGGGGAGGGAGGAGGAGGAGGAGGGTCGTCGTCGTCGTCCGACGGGGCGTTCTCTTCCGCGGCGCGGGCGCCCGCTGGGGCCCGCGGCCCGAGGCGTCCGACGGCTCGATCTGCTTCGGGGAGGCGGCGCTGGCCCCGAGAAGACCTCTCCTCCCCCCCCTCCCCCTCCTCGTCGTCCTCGTCGTCGTCGTCGTCCTCCTCCTCCTCCTCCTTTTTAGCTAACCCGACCTAACGAACGTGTGGCGTGCCCTCCTCCTCCTCCTCCTCCTCCTCCTCCTCCTCCTCCTCCTCCCCCTCCCCCATCCACCTCCCCCTCCTCCTCCACTGGGCCTCCACCTCCTCCTCCCCCCACCCGCCCCTTCCTCCACCTCCCCCAGACCCCCGTACCCCAGACCACAAGCCATCGGGCTCCAAAGGGGCAGAGCGCCCGCCAGCCCGCACCATGCCTGCGCCCTTTTCTTGCGCGGGCTTGACGCGGCGTTGCCCGGAGGCTCCCGCAGGAGAGTCTCGGCATCGTTCGGACGCGTGCATTTTTCGTCGTCCTCATCGTCGTCGTCGTCGACGTCGTCGGGGGGGGAGAAAAATCCACGCACCACATAGAAAAATGCACGGGGAACGGACGTCCGAGCGATGGCGAGGAGTTCTCCTGGTGGCAATGCGTCGCCCTCAGCACAAGCACGGTGGACCGTTGTGCGTTTCGCTTTCGTTCTGCTGCAGCTGGTCAAGTTCGGTTTCAGCCTTCGGCGTCCGCCTTCGGCGCCAACATGTTCTGCTTGAGCGCGTTGTATGAACCTGGTCAGCAGGTCACTGGTGCTACTGGTTGTTCTACCACTACGCTCTCGTTGTGCAGTTCGTGACCGCACCCACTCGTGTGTTGAGGTCGTGCGTGGCCAGTTCAACCTTCGGCGTCTTCCTTTTCGGCATCATCCCGTTCTGCTTGGGAGCGTTGTACCAGCATGGTCACCAGGTTGCCTGGTGCTACTTGCTGTTCTACTACTTCGCCCTCGTTGTGCAGTTCGTGGAGCCGTTCTGGGTGTCGCGTGGGCGGGTACGTGATCCTGGTCACCAGTTGCCTGGTGTTACAAGTGGTCTTTCATGTTGCCCTCGTGCATCTGACAGGGTACACCCAGGCGGGTCTCTCTGATTTCATGTGCAACCTTTTCTATAGCACAGGGCCTTTCCCCGCGGGAGGCTAAGGTGTCCAGTGCCGTTTCTGCTAAATGCGCAAGGGGGGCCCTTTCTCTTCGGTCTGTGTCTCCACATCGTGAAGCCTACGGCGCTTGTGTCTCTCTTCAGTGCATCTCGTTGGCGGCCCAGGCATACCTTGCAGTCGTCCTTTCGGCGCCCGCTGCCTTACGTACATTTGTGCTGCGCAGGTCAGAGAACCTCTTGCTGGCGAGTGCAGCGCTCGTGCTTGTCAAACCCCGTCTGTGTCCAGGTATCGGCCGCGCCGTGTGGTCCCCTGTCAGCGGCCCCCTTCTGCCACTTCTATTCGCGACAGCCCGTCGGGGAACCTGCCGCCTGGATATTGTGCCCGTTCTTCAGCGCACCAGTTAGTGGCGTGCTCTTCTTAGGAGGCGTTGCGTTCATGATGCTCTCAGTGCCGCCTTGGGGCTTAGTCCCCATCGGCGCTCTGCTCTCCGCTGCTGCTGTTCTTGAGCAGGATTATGTCGTGGCCCTGGGGCTACGTTCCCATGGATGCTTTCTGATTTCCTGAACGTGATATTTGCGCACTGCCTGGTGTATTTGTTTGAGCCCAGCTGGGGCATGCCGTTCAGCCTTCCCCCTGGGTTCCGTCTGCTGGCTGCTCTGCTTCTCGCAGCCTAGTGCTTGGGTGGCTGGCCTGCTGGCTGGTTGGCTTCTGGTTGGCTTCTGGCTGGCTTTGGCCGGTTGGCTGGCGGGCTGCTCATTGACTGGTCGGCTGGCTGGCTGGTTGGCTTCTGGTTGGTTGGCTGGCTGGCTGGTTGGCTGGCTGGCTGGCTGGTTGGATGACTGGCTGGTTGTCTGGCTGGATGGCTAGCTGGCTGGCTGGTTGGCTGGCTGGCTGGCTGGATGGTTGGGGAGCTGGTTGGCTGGCTGGCTGGTTCGCTGGTTGGCTGGTTGGCTCTTTGGCTGACTGGTCGGCTGGCTGGCTGGCTGGCGGGTGGCTTCCGGTTGGCTTGTGGCCGCTTGGTTGGCTGGCTGGTTGTGTGGCTGGGCTGCTGGCTGGTTGGCTTCTGGTTCGCTTCTGTCTGGCTGGCTTTGGCCGGTTGGCTGGCGGGTGCTCGTTGATTGGTCGGCTGGCTGGCTGGTTGGCTTCTGGTTGGTTGGTTGGCTGGCTGGCTGGCTGGCTGGCTGGTTGGCTGGCTGGCTGGCTGGTTGGCTGGCTGGTTGTCTGGTTGGATGGCTGGCTGGCTGGTTGGCTGGCTGGCTGGCTGGTTGGCTGGGGAGCTGGTTGGCTGGCTGGCTGGTTGGCTGGCTGGCTGGCTGGTTGGCTGGCAGGCAGGCAGGCGGGCTGGCTGGCCGTTTGGTCGGCTGGCTGGGTGGTTGGCTGGTTGGCTGGTTGGCTGGCTGGCTGGTTGGCTGGTTGGCTGGTTGGCAGCCAACCAGCCGCCAACCAGCCGCCAACCAGCCGAATGGCCCTGGTTGGTTCGTGGTTGGTTCTGGTTGGAAATGCGGCCAAAACCCGTGTAAGTGGTGCTCAACTTACACGGGTTTTGGCCGCATTCTGGTTGGGTCTCGGTTG